AGGACAATGACGAAAAATCCCTCTTCGAGCTTTTGACATCGATAAACCTTCAACACTGAAGCTTTCAAGTCAATACCGATGAAAAAGCTGAATGATGACCTCCTGCAATACTTGTAAAAGCCATTTTGATGGATTTCGAAGATTTATGTGTCATTATAAGTGGATCGATATAACATTAACGAAATCTAATAATAGTTAGTTTACGCATGTTGACTTTTATAACGTTAGTCGACATTGCCTATCAGATATTGCCTAGTCGACCCTTTGCACTTGTCAAGTCCACGTCGCCTGCTCTGCGTGTCCGGCAATTGATTACATTTATGATAGCGCAACGTTGCTTTTCCAATTAATACGCGAGGCCACGGGGACGATATATTAACAGATTTTAAACATGGCGTGCGAGCCCCGCGACTGTTTTTTCTCCCTCTCTTTAACTCCAACTTCAACATCACCACGCGGCGCGTAGCTCGTTTTATTTTCGCACTTTTCATTGGAAGAGTCGAAGCGCACTTAATTATATTCTTGACACGTTGCGTAACTCACAAATTACCGAGTGTGCAAATTGTTTCCAAGGTCGATCAATAAAATGACTCATCTGAGGCAGACACTTGAAAAATGGTGACGCTGAAAAGTTATCATTCAAATGAGACAAACGTTGATAGAATTTGTAACGAGATTACTCGAAAATACGAAGAAATTTCACTTTTTACAGAGGCAATTTCAATATGATTTATCTAAATTTAACAGTATGGAATAGAAAATGAAATTCATTTTTTCTCCCAAATATAGAGCCAGTAATCTAACATGACAGAGCTTGAATTTGAAAAAAATTCAAAAAAAGCAATAAATAGTATTCGCGTTAATTTATCGTTGAGGCAAATAATTAGTTTGATTTGAAAAACCTTTTTTCATTTTATTTTCTAAGCTAGCTAAAAAGCAATCGCAGTAGAGTTTGAAAAATGGCAAAAATTCTGCGAATTGTATGATAAAATGAATACCTGCATGTAACTTTTTGCAAGCAGAGAGTATCAAATAGCCAAAAACAATCTCGATTCCGCCATTGAGGTCGATATACAAAAGAATAACGTAGCCTGCATTTTATACGCTATACACATTGAAAAGTAGTATTCCAGTCTGTGAATAATGAAGGTATAAGATAACCGTGTTATTATTAGCTAGCGCACGAGATATTACGTAACAGCTAGATGGAATATTATTATACTATATAATGTATCGCTCCGTGTGCTCGAACTTCCGAGCAGATAATTTTTTTTTGCGGTCAGAAGCAGCGAAGATGATTATTATCGATACGGCTGAAAGGTACTCTCTTCCTGCCTGTACTCCATGTAAGGCTGCGCCGCGACGAAGGTGTTGAAAAGTGGAACAATAAATATCTAAATGATTTAATATTTTCAAAGGAGCTCGTAATTTATACTGCGGGTCTTATCCAACGGCTTTGGAAAACAAGGTCGTATAATGCCTACAGTCGGATTATAATGTAATATTTCGTAACTTATTCCCCTCAAGATCTTCATTAAAAGCCATTATATAGTCAGCGCTCGAGTGCAGCAAAATTGAAAACACGCGTGAGCCGCATGCATATATGCGCTGGAAAAGTGAATTTGTGCATTCGATGCTTGCGTGGACCAATCAAAATGTACGTTTCATCGGACGGAATTTTTGTGCACGACGATGTAAATTTTTAGCCAGACAGCAGAAAAAGACGCTTGAATGAACAATGTACAGTGCAACCGAGATGACGTATATGTATAGACCGGCATAAAAGTGAGTAGGATTGAAATCGAGCAGAGCATGCCTTATGCATCGAAAGAGAGATTATAGACACAATGCAGCCACGCGAGAGATATGATTACCAGCGATGAGGCGTGAGAGAGAGACAGAGAGAGAGAGAGAGGATTTATAAGAGGATTAAATGCCATGGTACGGCCTCTCTTACGGACATCGAACGAAGCCCACTGATGCGATGCACATTCTAATCATTCTCACGCGCGACCAAGCGAGCGCCTTCCTCGTGTACGTATGTGGAATATGTCTAGCTATGCTACCACTACGTGTATCCATATACGTACATGTTTAACTGCACTAGCCACTTCGTGCGCCCTTAATTCTGCACGAATTGTATTGCGCGACTCGCTTACGCATAGCCCCCATGAAAAACTGAATCAAAATGCGCAGTAACGGTCAAAAACTTGTATCTTCTACAGTACCACTCTATAACCACTTGGAGCGCTTATGAACTGCTTACCCCATTTAGTCTGTCTACTTATCAACGCAGGATATTCTGAAGTGGTGTAAGTTGACATCTTAGGTTTATTCTTAAATATATAATTGATCAGACTTTGCCATGAAATGCTTCACATTTCAGCCAATCATTTTTATGGTAAAATCATTTTTTACAAGTAGATACTCGTCTTAAAGTCTCGTGCAGTAGATGTTGTTGTAGTGAAGAAAATGTATAGGTCTGTACCCGCGTTATACAGCCCGTGCAAGATAGTGTATGTGTGGACTAGCACAAAGACGACGTGCACGCGGCACGGCGAGAAAAGAGGCATTGTCTACATTGTCTTTGCGGATTTGATCGGCCGGATTTCGAAAGAGATCACTATAGATTTCCTGATTTTCAAAAATTGACATATAAATCTATACGGATTGCAGCGGCAGACGGAAGAGCCATATATCGGGCTTTTGTTTCGAGTCGGGCCACGGGGCTAAAAAATACACACGGGTCTTGTCTTTGTTAAAGAAGCTTCCAATACATGGCTTTCGAAACGAGAACAGAACACGTATGTACGCGCCCAATGCGTTAAATGACATCACGAATTCTTGCAAAATCGTGTGTATCCTCATTTCTGTTGTTTTCTCAACGTATTCATTAATAGATAATAAATTGTAAGGGCCTAAGCATACGTACCGAGCTAAAACCTACAAACATCTAGAGTTACCCGATTCTATTCTTTGTAGCATGATACACTTTATCAACAGCACAATGTATAAGAGCAAGAAAGCTTGTTCACCTACACGTATGATATTTAGTATAGCAGTAAGCGTATAATATGTAGAGAGTAAGTTTAATATTAGCTCTGCGAAATACGTTCTCGTTTTCTTATAGCCATGTGCGTCGTCCACCACAAAAACACGATAATACGCGAGCGACGATAATATCGCGAGGCAGGTTTGATACAATATTTATGACATTCGTACATAGCACTGAGCTTCGGTCTATTGCTCTTATACTACTTGTATACATATAGAATTATTCAATAGGTTTTATTCAGCCCGTAACAATCGTCCAGCTTCGTCCGTAAATTAAAAAAAAATCCATGCCCTAATACCGCTGCCTAATCGAATACAAGAAGTAATTTACTCGGCTTTGTGTTGTCGATGAGATTTTGTCGTCGTCGCGCTGCAAGCTCAACTGTTGCAGTAGTAGGTGTGCAGCTCTGTAGAGGAGCGACTCGTGCATCGAGCTGTATCGAGTTACCTGCTTGTCGCACGAGTCACCTTGCGCAACGCTCCAAGAATTCAAACATTTACGCAGATAACAAGAGCCGTACCTACTTCTGCAGGCTCGAGTTGGCGCGTGGTGCATCCAACATAATCTGTCTGTTTTCGCACAAAAGCATCAAATCCGTCCTCCTGAACCGGAAGAAAACTTTACTTGTCACCCACGTGTTTGTACAATGCATAATGCATGTGCATACACGTTACATCGTATATAAATGCGCTTTATACTCTCCGCGGTAATTATATATGGCGCTGCAGGCCGCATTATATACCTGCATTTCTACACATTACGCCATATCGAAATCGTCAAGCTGCACTGCAAACTTGACATTAGAGAGCATTAAAATTACGGTAGTTTATGGCGCATTGCGATTTCCGCCCGTGTTTATCGCGCTCTAGCTTATAGCCGTAATAATATCGCCTTTATCCACGCTTTATATTATTATGGTAAAAAAATGCCACTCACGCGCTTACATTGTTCATTCCGCGCACTTGCCGAGGTTCGCGCGAATAATCGACTCGATAGAGGCTTGTGTACAGTGTCGGATGTAGTCGATTAAGCGGTATCAAGCGTAAGGTACCTCGAGCAGTGACTCGGCTGATGCTGCTGCCAAAGTCTTGGTATGTGTCTCGATGCGATGTAGCGATCGGTACCGTTGCATCTCTCAGAAAAGAGTCGACCGTATGGCGTATACGAAATAAAAGCGAAAGGTTTTCCGAGGCAATTAGATGAATTAGATGTCCGTGGCGCAAAGATTAAACACTGACAGTACGGTACACAATTGTTGTTCTTTATAGAACTGGAAACGAGCGCAAATTGCTCAAGACGTGCAGTGCATGTGTGACCCCCGTCTCTGATATCAGATGTACAATCGACGTTTCAATCCGGGCTTCTTCGGTAATGCTCCGCGGATTTCTTACGCACGATTTTCTCGTTTACCTCGAGAAAATTCATCGAGCAAATTTTAAAAAGTCAACACAAAGCCTAGGAATTTTTGCGCTAGCAGTATACAAGAGCTCCAGTCTGTATCGCTATTTCGACCTTATAGCACTTGAAGCACGAGTAACGATGAATAGGCAAAAAGAGAGTCCCGCCAGTGGATTATTGGCATGTTCGCAGAAACGGTACAGTACTTGAATCGAGTGTACTATACATAGGCATATCTAAATACAAGTGCACGTCTTCGTGGGAAAACGAGCTAGGCCCTGAACGCGATGGACGGATCGCCAAATATGTGTTACTTGAGTCTCAGATATTAGAAATTCGAACTAGTACAAAAACATATCTCGAATGAACGCTATACACACGTGGCTACTTGGTACGCGAGCTTTCATCAAGTGGAGTTTTTTATGCAAATGCAAAAAATAAACGGTTAAATTCAAAATTGTGTATGATTTTTATCATTTCGAAATTGTCTTATTATCAATTTTGAAACAATAGCATTTATTGATTCATCAATGCTCAGTCAACTTACGATTTTGATCAAAGCAGAATGTGTTGTCTCAATTTAAGTATAAGTACCTGCAACAGAAAAGTCAAAAGTGAAATTAGTTAACCGTGGTAAAAAATTTAGGAAATTAATGGTGCTAATCATATATATATTTAACTTTGGAGAAAAATTTTTTCTGTCTAAACTATGAAAGTCTTTTGATAATAGACTTTCTGATAAAAATAGAACGAGTGGACAAAAGCAGAATATTTAATCTGGTTCGTGATAATTTTGTGGTCTGCTCACTCGTAACTGTATCGCTTGGTTCTCGTCTTTGTCCTTTCGACTTCAGTCGATTATAGACCAGAGAATAAAACTGAATCGCAAATGAGATAATTTAATCGAGGCAGTAGTAGTGGTTCGCTTGACAATGGACTTTTCTTACAGTCACATTATCATATATTTGTTTGTTTGTAAGTGCAATGAAATGTTCAATGCTCCGAATTACATAACAAAGTCTTTGATATGAAGTCGAGAGAAAATTGAAAAATAAGATAACAACCACGAATCAGCATTTTCTACATTCTTATAATTAATTGTATTTTTAGCTATGATTATAAGAGTCCAACTGTAATAGCATCTACGAACGAATCGTTTCAAGTCAAATCCTAATACTTTGTGTTAGTGTGAGCATATGATAGTAAACGCTATAAAATGAATAAACCTCTTCAACAAAAACAACACAGAGGGTTTTTATACTTTTATTTTTTACTATCATTGTGGATTATTTTTGATGAATGAACTAAAGTTTTCAAAAAACGAAAGCATTAAATTCTTTCGAAATAAACAAATTTCTACCTAAACTGAGGTAAAGTCTATAATGAAAAATAATATTTTTAATATAGGAAAAATTTTATACGCGTTTGAAATATCCGGAAAAAAATTTACACACAAGAGCACTTTCAAACTCCACATCGATGCGATGCATTATAGTATCACACATGTGTACATGCGATATACAATTGTATGCGGAAAGACATTCACACGAAGAAGATATCTTTTAACTCACATTGACGTAGTGCACAATGGTCTCAGATATTCATATGGTTTATGTGGAATAACATTTTCACAAAATGTTCATTTCAAATCTCACATTAATGCGCTGCGTAGTGGTGTTATGCCTGTATGTGATATAAGCCAAGAGACATCAACAAAAAATGATAATTTCCAAAACCATTTCGATAATGTGCACATTGGTGTCACACGTGTATGCGATGTTTTCGAAAAGATATGCACCCAAAAAAGTTATCCCAAAATCCACATTAGTTCAAAGTATGTCCCACACGCGTGTGATAAATGTAGGAAATAATTCATAAGAAAGGACCATCTTAAATACTACATATTTTTGGAATTATTCATTAAATTCAAGAAAAAATATCATTTCAAACAAGAAAGGTCGATAAAAATTATCATTTTTAAATATATTTCTTTAACTTTATATACAAATAAATTGCAATGGTCAGAAATAAACTTTCATTTAATATGAAAAGTCTGTTGTTAAAAGAGGTCATCTAGATGTTACGATTACTGTAAGAGTGTAAGGATGTGTAAAATCGAGGTCATGTCTTAAGATCGATTGTCAAGTGCTATTCTCGTATTGCAAAAGTTCTTGAGGAAAGTATCTTATATTCAGTCTTTATAGTTATAATTTATTAGGTATTTTTCATACCTTAGTGTTGATCGTGATTTATAATTACATGATACTTTGCATCAAAAATTATGTTTATTACTCAAAATATCAAAGTAATGGAATTCGTAACGAAAATTGTTTAGTTGCTATGCAATAAAACAGAAGTGATCACTATGAAATGAACAACTGAGAGTAGGGACGATCAATATGTAGGCTAACTCTTTACTTTTCAAGAATTGTCGGGACTTTCGGGCTACCTCAGACCATTCATCAAACCGTGGTGAGGGTCACCTTCCGGTTCTTTACTTGATATACTCCAAATCGATTTTTATTATTTGCTAGTCTATGTTTATTCTTGTAATACTACGTTTCAAGGTCATCGATCGTAAGATTTGATAGAATTAATAATTTATGCATTTCGTCTGTTTTAAAAATGGCAACACTAAAAATCAATATGATTAAAATAAAATTGTGAACACATTTTAACGTTTACATCTAGCTCATCATTAGTGTTCAATGCACTTTTCAAGAGACTTAACAAAATAGGGAAACTAAAACTATTCTGATTTTTTCTTCGAAGAATGTATTCGCTTAAAGATAATTGCAAAATTAGCACACACTTTTTCGTATTAAGCGATCATATTCGTATAGCAAACCAATGAAAATCTCTACTTTTTCATGTAGGTCTCGGTGTCAGTCGTCCTCAGCGCTGCCGGTCGTCGGTCCTAGATTATAAAGGTATATAATCTTTGTCTCTACGTCTATACATATACAAGCACACACAATGTCTAAGCTCTTTGGAGATTCTCAGCTGTGCAGGGAGAATCATTATTTTTTTCACCTTCGACCTCGAGCTCGTTGCATTATGCGGACGTGGCCTGCGTCCTGAATTCCTGCAAATCGTTGATCACACTCGTTACCGTTATTGCAGCCGCTCATACAAGTGCGTCGAGAGGGAATTTTCGGATCAAACATTTTAACAAAAATATACTGCAGTTTGCACATTTTAGACTCGACGTAGAAGTTTATTGTATTTTCTACGTTGAAGGTTATTTTCAAGCTATATATTCTACGGGGATAAAGACGGTGATTAGGAATCTCACTCATTTAATCAAAGCCTTACAGTTCGTTTACGAAAAAATGAAGTTTGATCGAAGCATCATTATCCAATGCTTCAAAATGTTCATCTAAAAAACGGAAAATAATCACGGCAACTTCGTGTTGGGCTTACTCATCGCATAGGCATCGTCCATCATCACTTTATAAAGGTCATGCTAGAATTCATTCACGAGTGCTGGCCTCACGTGAGTTGAACGCTCGCTTATATTATACCTTATACTGCACATGTTTATGTACTCATTTACGAGAGAGGAGTCGGTGTATGTGTGTATACTATATATATAATGCTATAGAGAAATTCGTCAAGCGTGTTTCCGTCTGTGATGCGCACCGAGTATACACTTCGTTTACATGTGATCAGGAGCTGGAGAAAATATAGAAACGATACCATAGAGAAGCAAAATACACGTATAACGCACGCACACCTTTTTAAACGTCATTACTTGGCTTTTGTAAAGGTATTAAATTAAAGGATTGTTCGAGAAGTACCGTTAACTTCAATGACGGACGCGTCTGAAAAGTAATTATGTCTGAGATATTTTGCATTCCTCCTTATACGTCCAACGGAGATCTATGAAAATGCTTGAAAAAGTTGCTGATTAAAAGTATCAAGCATAAACTTCGAACCTTTCAGTATCTTGGATATAATGAGGATTGTTCGCTACCATTTTAGCTTTAGCAAAAACTGTTTACTCAATATAGTTATTTCGATACAGTACATATTTACTAAAGTAGCTAAAGTTGGTCTTAAAAATATCTTAGTTAAATTGAATAATTCAACATTCATAGGGATTATTTCATAATAAAAGAATAAGTGAGGCAAAATGTACAGCTTAGATTTTTATTGACTCTAGACAGTTCGTAATAATACCATTGGACTGACAGTCCGCCTTCCTAAAACAAGCAAATATTATATAAAAAAACAAGTTGCAAAAAATCCCTTCAAATCGTGTCAATATAGGTTTAGCCTACATCATTTATCTAGCCGCATGTACGAACACGTTAACGAGCACGATAATTCTTTCTCGTAACTGCAGTACGCGAGTTTTATTGAATTAGCCGACATACAAACGTGTACAACTGACATCGATCTTCATAATCAACTAATCATCATTATCAGCGACAATAGCTACGCCAGAAGACGTACAGAATTAGGCGTATATCGGACGGCTGGCACGAAGAAAGTTATGAAATATGCATCGCGCGCACACGTTCAAGTTGCCAGACCTGCAAATAGTAATAAACGATATAGCAACGTTAACGCACGGCACGGGCGTGTAAGTAGGTACTATTAAAGTAGCAGAAGTGTCAATTACCTCGATTCACACGCTCTATATTTTCTCTTTGTCAAAAAAAAAGAGAAGATGTGGTACTTTGGTGCGTATATTGTGCGTTATTTTCATGTCATGGAAGAAACGATCGATCGAATAAAATTTTTATTCGTTAAGAGACATTTGACTACGTTATATAAGTTAATGCGTTCAAACAATTATGAAGCTTTGACAAATTATTATTAATTTTAAAATAAGGACAACCTTAATGTTACTCTAAAACCAATCTAAAATTAAATCTCACAGAAAAACATTTGAATTCGCTGGTAAACAGCAAATTATATTTGCAACTGATGAAGACTGAAGAAATTGTAAAATTCCTCTCCGCTCACTTTCAAATCAAAAAGGATTCAATGTTCTAATTATCTTTCCTTACCAAATAAGACAACTCGGTGACTATTTGTATGCGTTTACAAACATGACTTTCCTGCTACATTTTCCTAGCTTTTTAGAGAGCTTGAATTGCTGAACTGCTCGAGCGACAGTTTCGCCTTTCTAACCGGGCTCTCTGCAATAAGCGTGCCGTCACTATCACGCCGCGCGATTCTGATCTAGAAGAATGAGAGAAAAAGTAGATTTGCCCACGAGGTTCTCAATTGTGTTCTAGAGGTAGAGAAAAATTCACGTTAAAATGTATTCTTTTAATTTTAATTCGATCAAGATAATGGAAAAGTTTTTTTAGTTTTAATTTTACAGGAAAAAAAGGAATATGATATCATCATGAATAAATTATGATATTTTTCCGAAACTAATAAAAATTGCAGTTGAGATCCATTCTAAAATGAATAAATCTGCCATAGTTCAATGAAATATTGTGCTCATTTTAATAATGTTGTAAATAATAATAATTTAATCTTACTAATTAATTTAATTTAATTTAATTAATTTAAGCAAAAGTAACTACGCTATAAAATTAAAATTTAACGAACATTAAAATAAATGATAGTCATTG